TGAACCTCTTGAGTTTTGAGCCATGAGAATATATTATCTATTCAAATAAGTAGATATGTAGATGCATAGATTCGTGACTAGGAAGATATATGAGAAGAGAAGCCAGTGAATGAATGAATGAGTGGGGGAACGACTGAATGTGCCCCTGACTGGATGTACCACTTGCTAGTTGTTGCATTGACTCCTCTCTTCCTTCATTTCCTCATCTGTAAAATGGGAATAATAGCACCTACCTCAAAGGGCTATTGTGAAATTCAAATGAATTAAAACAAGGAACTAGATGAAGGTTTAGCTATCATAAGTACAATAAAAGTTAGCTATCATTATTTTATGACTATTACCTTTGTGACTTTGGAAGCTTACTTACCTAACTAAACACAGGTTTCGTACTCAGGTATATCTGGATTTTAACCCAGGCTTCCCTCTGTATCTTCTGTGAGATATTGTGCAGGATTTTAAACTTCTCTTTCCCTCCATTTTTGTGTTTATAAAATGTGAATAATAGTAACACAACAACAATAATAATAATTCAGAAAGCCGACTCACTAATTTGATATTTGTTGATATTAGAAAATTCTTGATTTTTTAGGTGTAATAATCATACTGTGTTTATTTTTTTTTTTTATTTTTTAGAGAGAGGGTCTTGCTCTGTTGCCCAGACTGGCGTGCAGTAGTGTAATCAATCTCTAGGTTCACTGCAACCTCTCTGCTCCTAGGTTCAAGCAATTCTCCCACTTCAGCCTCCCACGTAACTGGGACTACAGGCATGTGCCACCACACCCTGGCTATTTTTTTTTTTTTTTGGTAGAGATGGGATTCTGCCACAGTGCTCAGGCTGATCTCTAACCCCTGGACTCAAAGGATCTGCCTGCCTCAGCCTTCCAAAGTGCTGACATTACAAGTTTGAGCCATTGTGCCTAGACTATTGTGTTTAATTTTAATGAGTCCTGTATTTTATAACTACAAACTAAAATATTCATTGATAAAAATATATAAGATTTGCTTCAAAACCATAAGGGAAGAATGGGTGAGGGTATGACTAAAACAGAAGTGGTCACGACTTGATATTGCCGTGAGCAAGTGACAGGTACATGGGGCTCAACACTTGATATTCTCTGTTTTTGTGTATATTTGAATTGTTCCCAGATAAAAACAGTCTTTTTAAGAGACTGCAGCGAAGTGAGAAAACACATCATACAGTAGCAGGAATGCAGTAATAACTCAAACATGGCTGCTGGTAGCCAGGGGTAGCAGTAGTTGTAGTATCCTGATCATTTTTATTAGCTTCAGTTAAACGGTCAGGAACAAAGGCTGATAGGCGAGGGAATGGATTAACTGATATGTGAAAAGAATCATCCCTTTTTAAGTTCTCCTAACAAAGATCTCACTTTTCTAATCTTTGAGGGAGCATCCACCCCCACAGGTACAGACATTTGCAGAGCTCTGACATACAGCATTCATAGAACTGGGCCACAAACCAGACCCTGAAACATGCTAGAATTCTCTCTCCATTGTTAATGGCAGAGCTTCAATTAAATGCATCAAATTGGGCAGGTATTTTTTTTTCTGCAAATATATCTTTACAATCAAATACCTCATTTTTAGTCATTCACCCTTGAAAAACTGAAAGTGACTTTCAAACAGTGATGTGTGGCCAGTTTTAACTTGGACAGTCATTAGTATTAGAGGAGTGGGGATTTGAAAATACTGCCTTAAGAAAAGTTTCTCCCTTAACTTATTTTTTACCCTTCCCACCTCTGTCTCCATGGAAATAGGGTCAGAGGCCTCCGGGAGCTCCCAGGGAGCCAGCAGCTGGGAATGAGAATTCTCACTTAGAGATTTCAGCTGAAAGCCATAAACTCCTTTACAAAGACCAGCTGAGTCTTTTGGCCAACATAGTCTCTTTTTTATACTAATAAATAGATGGCTTTTTTTTCTTTTGTCTTTTTCTTTTGGTGTATACATGGAGGAAGAAGAGGTGCCCTAAGTAATAACCATTTTTGCATTTATACTTGAACTTCTGTGCAATAAATCAAGATGGAGATATTCCTTAAGAATTTATTTTCAAGTTAATATGTTTAAATGATAGTGTACATATGGAATTAAGCAATTATCACTTGCTTGATCTCTGTCCTTTCAAGTGTATGATAACACCAGATATTTGAAGACAAATATATGTGAAGTTATTCATTACACGCTTATCAGTTGTAAATGATTCTAACAGAATATCATCATGACATAATTCAAAATCAGTTGGTTAAAAGCAAAAACAAATCTCAAGATATAAGCAGTTGGTACCATTCCACAGAATGTTTTATGAATTAAAGTATAATTTACTATTGGCACCTATTTTTGTTGAACTGTTAACACTAGTCCATATTTTTTGCACTTTAAGTATTCAGTTTGTTTACTCATAAATCATTTAAAAATATCTGAGAAGGGTGGCTACTCGACTATGACAAATACTTTATTTTTATATATCATATATTATTATTTGATAGCTGAATATTTATTAAAACAATATAAAATGTAAATTTAGCTTAAAAAAAAAAAGCCCTAGCGAATTATTTTTAAATTTGGAGCTGCAGGAGTCTGTGTTTGAAACAATTTTTTTATTTATGCCACACTTTTTTTTATGGTTCAAGGTTTATAGACTCAATAAGATTCAGCATTATTTCCAAGAACTTTTACGAAATTTCATCACTACTCTTACATAAAACACTGAGTTATTTCTTTCAATCATCAATCACACAACTGCTCTGAATTTTCCAGAACTTGGCTTCAGCAAGCATCAGAACCACAGCACCTCTCTCAGACGCTTTCACATTCTTTCTCTCTCTCTTTTTTCAGTGTTGTGGTCAGCAGTCTAATGATGCCGAGCTTTTATTCTTCAGCGTTTCCTTTGTCTTTGGGCCCTTTCGCATGTCCCTGCTGAGCTCTCTCTCTCTCTCTGTCCTGGGTTGAGCCCTTATTCCATGTTCCCCTGCTCTCAGAAGTGAAACAGAACATCGTGTTCCGAAGCTGCCCAGCACACATGCTTCATGACCCTGCCAAGTTTGCAGCTGACCAATTGGCCTACTTTAGAGGACTCACATTTATAAAATTTACAAGTCTTTATTTCCACCAGCCCATCACCTCCTCCCCACCCTGTCGAAAAAGAGTGTGCCAAACGCACTGATAAATCAAGGGTTTTTGCTGTTGCAACAAAATGAACAGTCATTTCTTTGCCCCAATAGCTGGCTCTCCACCTTGCTATTCCCTCCTGAATAGATGGAAAATATGGGTTGGTGTGTGGTACAAAGACATTCAAAAGTGGTTGCCCCTGTATTAACTAATTTCAAAAGAAATATACAAACAAAACGGTATGCTCTTCTATTTTTTGGGGAGATCGGCATTTCTAAAGTAATTCTCTTGCAAAAATGGATCCAGGCAAATCTGTCTTCTTCCAAATTAGGAAGACAGAGTTAGTGCCTTGCTTTTTCAATGAGATTGGGTCAGGCAAGTCTAATGGATTTAGACAGTATGAACACTCCTTAATGGCTTTGAATCTTCTAAGATTTTATAATAGATTCAAGATCAAGTAGGAGAGGGTAAAGATTTAATGGCATAAAGACAAGGTGTAGGAATTGGTTTCTTGTAATTCTAGTGATGCCTGTTCCACTCTTCAAGAAAAGGAGCTCAGTCAAGGGTAGATCCAGGTTATTGCAAAGCTTATAAAATACAGAGCACTCTCTATGCAAAAGAAAATGAAATTAAGCCCAAGAGTAAATATCTACTTAGAATAAGAGACAAAACCGTAACAAATTACAAACTTTAAAAAGCATCCAGAAAAATTGCATCATTACCATTAGTATTAAGAAGTATTGTTACTATTATAACTTCACTGTTTGACCCACCTATATAACACTTCTCTTCCCGACTTTTTTGACTCTATTGTCTTTAACCATTCCTCAAATATCCAAAACTTTATAATACTATCTTGTGTAAAGAGAATACAAAGATAATTTTGGTTTTCTTCTGGTATGGCAGATAGAAATATGTTTTTTGTTATTGTTGGTTTCTAAAAGATTCTTTCAGCTTGAGAACTATTGGTCATGCCACAGCTGCAACCTCTCTTTCTCCAGAGGTGCTTTATGCCCTGAGAAAAGGTCTCAGAGACTCCAGACCTTTGATCTTGCTAGGCAGGGCTCCAGCTGACCCTTTGGCCCTTGCCTCAGCAACTGATACAGCATCCCATTTGGTGTCCTGGGTGGAAAGAGCAGGGATCGAGATGCTGGTGATAAAGACTTTGTCTGGAGAACCCTGAGCAGAGAGTGATGAAGCATCTCATTCTGAACCTCCACTTCAGTGCCAGAGTTGGATGGATTTTAGATACTGGGGAGGCTTCACAAGGTACAGGGTGTCACTGGAGATCAGCAAAAATTGAGAGAGTGCATTCAGGCTACCAGTCTTATCCACAGACCCAGAATGTAGAGATTGACCCTCTGGCTGGGCTGGCACTCCATGCCTCCAGCTACACTTTAAATCCCTGAGAAGGACACACAGGACCTTGGAAGGGGCCTGGGAAAGTAAGCAGCTGTGAAACTAAAAGTTCATTAACTTTATGAAAATCCTCCTCTCTCTTCAGTGCTTATAATAGAGTGAACAGTTGCTCGGTGCAGTGGCTTGCGCCTGTAATCCCAGCACTTTGGGAGGCCGAGGCAGGCAGATTGCTTTAGGTCAGGAGTTCGAGACCAGCCTGGTCAACATGGCGAAACCCCATCTCTACTAAAAATACAAAAATTAGCTAGGTGTGGTGGCAGGTGCCTGTAATCCCAACTACTCAGGAGGCTGAGGCAGGAGAATCACTTGACCCTGGGAGGTGGAGGTTGCAGTGAGCCAAGATCATGCCACTGCACTCCAGCCTGGGCAACAAGAGTGAAACTACATCTCAAAAAAAATGTGTGTGTATATATATGTATATATACATGAAAATAGAAATGAATTATCTGGCTAAAGTGATCCCTATTTAGTATTCTCAAAATTTTAAGTTCCACAGGGCAGGGATTTTGTCTGCTTGGGTCACCACTGGATCTTCATCTTCTTCTGAATATTGGAGGGGACCAAAACTAGTTGGCAATGCCCTTCACTTTCTAGAGTTAAAATAGGGTAGCCATCTGGAAGCTACTGGCCAGTGCTCACTTTTAATGTCTTCATATGCCCTTGAGATACTTGTTCTTACATCATCCAAGCTCCTCTGCTCCCCGCTTCATTTGTTGTGGGGGTGGGTTTTGAAGCATAGTTTAAGCATCATGTCATCCTCTTTTCATTTTGAGTGCATGATCTATTGCTGCCCAGATAGTCAAATGTCAAGGCTTTTTGGCTGGGACTCTTCCAGTTGTATCACAATGCTGAAACTTTTTAGAGTAGAAAAGCTCCTTACCCTGTTTTTAAATATCGATTTAAGATACTAGAAGATTTTTGAAAATATGAATATGTTTTCTTGTTTCTTGAGGATTCTGAGATGCTTCTTTGGGTCTGTGGGGAGAAAATAATGCAGTCAGTTTTGTCAATGAGAGATTATTTGGGGTCTCTTCATTTCTTAAGCTTGCAAGTCACAATATGGTATCTAAACCTTCAGATAGTGAGTCAATAAGTTCTGTTCCTCTTATTTGTACATTTAGATGGCAACATTGTGACTTTCAGACGTAAGAAATGAAGAGATCCTGAGACCAGGCATGGTGGCTCAGGCCTGTAATTCCAGCACTTTGGGAGGCTGAGGCAGGTGAATCACTTGAGGTCAGGAGTTCGAGACCAGCCTGACCAACATGGTAAAACCCTGTCTCTACTAAAAAAAAATACAAAATTAGCCAGGCATGGTGGTGCATACCTATAATCCAGCTACTTGAAAGGCTGAGGCAGGAGAATCACTTGAACCTGAGAGGCAGAGGTTGCAGTGAGCCAAGACTGCACCATTGCACTCCAGCCTGGATGACAGAGTGAGATACTATGAAAGAAAAGAAAGAAAGAAAGAAAGAAAGAAAGAAAGAAAGAAAGAAAGAAAGAAAGAAAGAAAGAAAGAAAGAAAGAGAAAGAAAGAGAGAGAGAGAGAGAGAAAGGAAAAAAAGGGAAATGAAGAGACCCAAATTGATCCACACATTGACCAAATCAACTGCATTATTTTCTTCCATGGGCCAAAAGAACTCATAGATTATACAGAATATTAGGGCTGGGATGACACAATGTCTCCTCCTCTTTACATTACTAGTGAAGAAACTGACCCTCAAAAGGATGAAATAAATTGCTCAAAGTTGTAATCATGAGTAGCATCAATTAGAAGTTCTATAAGGGAGGCATAATAAAGTTATTCTTCCAAATAAGTGTCTTAGTTCATTCAGGCTGCTATACCAAAATACCATAGATTGGGTGGCTTAAAAACAAGGAAAATTTATTTTTCAAAATTCTGCAAAATGGGAAGTTCAAGATAAAGGCAGCAGATTTGGTGTCTGGTTAAGACCAGTGTTTCCTGGGTGCATACAGAATGCCTTCTCACCATGTCCTCACATGGTGGAAGGACAAGGGGTAACTTTTGGGCCCCTTATTTATTTTTTTAAGAGTCAGGGTCTCACTCTTTCACCTAGGCTGGAGTACAGTGGTGCAATCATAGCTCACTTGAACACCTGGGCTGAAGTGATCCTCCTGCCTAAGTAGCTGGAACTACAGGCTCGCACCACCACACACAGCTAATTACAAAAACATTTTTTGTAGAGATGGGGTTGGAGGGTCTTGCTATGTTGCACAGGCTGGTCCTGAACTCCTGGCCTTTAGTGATCCTCCCACCTCACCCTCCCAAAGTGCTGGGATTGCGGCTCTGAGCCACCATAACCAGTAGGGCCTCTTTAATAAGGGCACTAATCCTATTTATTAGGGATCCACGTTCATTACCTAATCACCTCCAGAAGCTCCATCTCCTAATATCATCACCTTGGGGGATAAAAACTTTAACATAAGAATCGGGAGGTGTATGATGTCCGTTGTGGGCTTGCAATTAAAAAAAAAAAAAGAATTGGGAGGTGGTGGCAGGGGGGACTCACAAACATTCAGACCATAGCAGTAAGTTTTGAAACTTTCCTTATCTCTTATTTTCATTTTTCCACCAGCTCTTATCTCTAATACCATGATAACTGTGATTAATGATGTCTGAGTCAGTAACATTTGAAACCCCAATACCTATATATTATGATAAGGAACACAGGGAGACCAAGAACACCAGAGACATTATCTTGGACTGACTTGACATTGGCATGGTGCTGGCCACTGGACGAACACTTTCTGAAATTTTCTGAAATAAATTGAGGATGTTTGAACCTTGTCTCAATTGCCTACACAGTACTGCAAATGCAGGACTTATTCATTTATTAATTTATTCAACAAACATTTATCAGAGCATTGCTCTAAGCCAGGCACTTTGCTCAGAGAGGCTTATATAGATAAAATAGACACGGATCCTGCTTCCAGATCACAACTGAGTGGAGAAGCAAATACACAATGTCCAGTAATGCACCACAAAATAACACTTTGGTCAATGATAGACTGCATATAGGACATAGGCATTATAAGATTATAATGGACCTGAAAATGTCTATTGCCTAGCAATATCATACCCACTGTAACATTGCAGTACAATGCATAATATGACTCCAGTCAAAGTGTTAAAAAAATTAAATTCATAACATAAGTGTTATAGCAAGCTAAAGTTAATTTATTTTTGAAGAACTAAATTTTTTTTATAAACTTAATGTAGTCTAGGTGTTTATAAAGGCTACAGGAGTGTACAGTAATGTCCTTGGCCTTCACATCCACTGACCACCACTCACTCACTCCCCCAGAGCACCTTCCAGTCCTGCAATCCCCTTCATGGTAAGTATCTTATACAGGGTGTACTGTTTTTGCTTTTTGTTTTTTGAGACAGACTCTTGCTCTGTTCCCAAACTGGGAGTGCAGTGGCGCTATCTCAGCTCACCCACCTCCCAGGTTCAAGTGATTCTCCTGCCTCAGCCTCCCGAGTAGCTGCGACTACAGGTGCCTGCCACCACGCCTAGCTGATTTTTGTATTTTTAGTAGAGACAGAGTTTCACCATGTTGGACGGCCTGGTCTCAAACTCCTGTCTTCAAGTGATCCACCTGCCTCAGCCTCCCAAAGTGCTGGGATTATAGGTATGAGTCACCAAGCCCGGCCTATTTTTAAAATCTTTTATGCTGTGTTTTCACTGTACCTTTTTAATATCTGGATACATAAAATACTGACCATTATGTTATAATTACCTACAGTAACATGCTGTAGAGGTTTGTAGCCTAGAAGCAATGGGCTATACCTTATAGCCTAGGTGTGTAGTATGCTCTACTATTTAGGTTTACATTAGTACACTCTATGATGTTCACAGGACAAAATCACCTAATGATACATTTCTCAGAATAGATCCTCCTTAAGCAACACATAACTCTATTTGTTTCTACTGCTGTGATGCAAATTGCCAAAAATTTAGCAGCTTAAACCCACACTTGTTTTTAGCTCACAGTTCTGTGGATGAGAAAGTCTGTGTACAGCACAAATGGGCTCTCATTCAGGTTCTCACAGGACTAAAACTGAGGTGTGTCAGGCAGGCTGCATTCTCATCTGGAGCTGGGATTCCATTCCAAGTTCCTGTGCTTGTGGCAGAACTCAGTTCCCTGAGACTGTGGAACTGAAGCTCCTTGCTGGCTGTCAGCCAGAGGCTGCTCTCGGATCCTGGATGCTGCCTGCCTTCCTTGCCACATGGCCCCCTCCATCTCCACGCAAGCAATGGCTTACCGTTCTTGTATCGGAGCCCTCTCAGACTTCAAATCTCTTTTGAAGAGCCTTGTCTCTTAAACCTGACCTGATTATGTCAGTCTCACCAAGGGTAATCTCACTAACTTAAGGTGAGATTTGGCATGTTAATTACATCTGCAAAATCCCTTTGTCATATAATATAACATAATCATGGGAGCAATACCTCACTGGCCCTGTATTGGGAGAAGATTTAGGGAATCACTGGAGGTCATTTTAGAATTCTGCCCAAAGCCTACAGCACATAACAAAGAGTAATTATATAGTGAGGGCAGCTACAAAGAGCTGGGGGAATGCAGAGAAGGGTAAATGTAACTCTGTCTGGTGACAGGATAGAGTCAGGGTAAGAGAAGAGGTAGAGTTGAGCTGATTGGGAAGAATGAGTAGGAGCAGAACAGGAAGGAAAGGGCAGGCCGTTGTACTTCACTTCCATGTGTCGGCTTTTATCTCCGCCAGTACGGCTGAGGCCCTTGGGCACGTGGAGCAGGCCACCTCTGGGGACTTCCTTCACCAACCCCTAACATACCAACTGTAGTCATGGACTCCTACGCAGTGTTCAAGAAATATTTGTATTGATTCCATATCTAATTAATTTTTTAAATGTTACTTATTTATTTAGAGACACGGTTTTGCCATGTTGGCCAGACTGGTCTCAAACTCCTGGGCACAAGCTATCTACCCTACTCAGCCTCCCAAAGTGTTAGGATTACAGGCATGAGCCACCATGCCCAGCCAATATCTAACTGATTTATGATAGTCATGTAATCATGAACCTCCTGTCTACCTTATTCTTACTCTCTCTGCATCAGAGGTTTTACAAAAATAAAATTTGAATTTTATAAAACGTTTTCTCACACACACACACACACACACACACACACACAGGAAATATCTAGCTGGTTTTTGATGACTGACTCCTATTAACCTCTGCCACTGTTTTCTTTCACTCATCCTACCCACTTTGCTCACCTTGCCCCAGCTGAGTCATCCCTGATCAGATGTTGTCTCAGTCAGGATTCTTCAGAGAAATAGAACCAGTAGGAGACAGACAGATGGACAGATAGAGATGATTTTAAGAAACTGAATAATTGCATTGTAGAGACCAGCAAATCTGAAGTCTGGAAGTGTAGAGCCCACAGGCAGTCTAGAAACTCAGTCGGAAGTTAACTCGGCAGCCTTGAGGCAGATTTCATCTCCAGAAAAATCTTGACTTTTGCCCTTAAGAATTTTCAACAGATTGTATAAAGCTCATTCCATTATCAAAAGTAACCCCCTTTACATAAAATCAGCTGACAACAGATATCAACTACATCTATGAAATATCTTCATAGCAACATTCCAATTAGCGTCTGACTGAATAACTGGGTAATACAGCCTAGCCAGGTTGACGTACAGAGCCAGCCATAGCAGATGTCTTCAGCCAAGCTTGGGCATTCCAGACCAGTCAAGCCCCCCGGTGACTGAACCCCCAGCCAACATGTGGAGTAGCAGTGATACTGACCAGCTGCACCCAGTCAATGTGAAATTCTGTGAAATAATAAAATGGTGGTTATTTTAAGCCACTAAGATTGAGGTGGTTTGTTAGGTAATGCTAGAAAACCGAAACACCTACAGATTAAAAGGAGGCCTTGAAACACAAATCCTTAGGTACAGATATAAGGTGGAACAGCTCTGCAAACAGCTGCAAGATTTTGAGGCCCAGCCTTTGGAGCAAGACTATTCATGTGACTTAGTTCCAGTGAGCTCAGAACCATGCTCAAAGTTCTTCAGGTGTCCATCAGACATGTGTTTATTACCTTCCCCCTTCTTAAGAATACCTGGTTTCTGTTCGGGAATCCAAAAAAAAATACCATCTCCTTCCCCTCAAAGATGAAGCATATGACCTTGGCTAGGCCAATCAGCATCTCCTTGAATGTAGTGATTGATTCAAAGATAGACATATGACCTAAACCTCTTCAATCAGAGTGACTTTCTGAGCTTTTGCTTAAAATGGTGGCAATGATGCTCTTTCCGCCTTGCTGGTTGTCAGTTTTAAAGCATACAGTTGCTTCCAGGAGCTGCTGGCAGCCAGTTGGTGACCTTGAGAGGAGTTAAGCATTAACAGCCTGGAAGGAAGAACAGAGAGAGATAAAGATAAACCATGTCTTTAGTCCTACCACTGAGCTGCTGGAGTAAGCCTCACCTGAAGCTTACTGTCTGCTGGCAAATTTCCTTTATTATTTAACCCTACTTAAGGTGCATGTTTTGCTATTTGCCTCTGAAAGCCTGTATGTATCAGGGCCATTCTTAAAGGAGAGAGAATTGTTATGAGTTCTGCAAAAACCTGAAGAGGTGTCTACAAAAAGGCTGTAAGTCCTTTTCACCTCTATCAAGAGTTGTTTTGAAAGCAGGACAATGGAAAGAGCTCCCATGACAGCCCTACTGACATCAGGACTCTAGACTCTGCATGTCACCTGTTAGGGAGAATGATGGATGATGAAACTGGAACTAAAACTTACTGAGCACCTACTGTGAGCCAGGCACTGGCCTGGATCCTTCACATACATTATCTTACCGATTCTCTACAAAATGCCTTTGAATGGTTATTCTAATCTCTGCAGATGTGGAAGCTGAAGCTTGGAGAAGATAATTAAATTGGCCAAGACCATGCTGCTATTTAGTTTCAGGCAAGTTTCAAAGTCTTGCTTGAAGAGTGCTTTCTGACTCCAGTGCTCCTTCCCTCCCGCAGGAGTCTTTAGACTCCCACCAGAAGCACCCTCTCATATCGGTTCTGTTAGATCACATCCACAGTAACTAATCGTGAGGATAAGGAAAGGAAGGCATAAAACCTTGGAGGCAGGGGTGTGGGTGTGGGGAGGAAAGAACTCTACCCTCAGCCTCACTCTAATAGTTGCACAGACTGTCAAGCCTCATAGCCAGATGTGTTCCATATAGATTCTTCAAATATCAGAGCACAGTCATCTATTCCAACTTTCTCCTTTTATAGTTGAAGCAACTGAGTAAGGCCAGAGAGGTCAACTGACCTGCCCTAAAGCCACAGAGCTAAAGGTTGAACTAAAACCACACTGTGCTTTTGCTCCACCTCTGGTTCGTAGCATAGACTGTTGTTTAAGATTTTGGAACCACGTGTCCTGGGTTCACTGCTTGGCCCTGCCACTTACTGAATGGCTTGGGCAAGTTATCAAATCATTCTGGGCCTTGATTTTCTTACCTGTTAAATGTGGAATTTTAACAGCCTTATCTCTGGATATAAATTACATAAAATAGCATCAGGGAACCTAGTGAGTGCTATGTGTTAACTTCCACGGATAGGCTCACAACTCACTGCCTCATTGCGACTGATTCTCTTCCCATCCAGCCTCATCTTCAGCATCTCTCAGGCATCTTTTTACACTTTGGTTACATCCAGTGTGATCTAAATTACACTCTGTCACTAATCTGCCTGTATCTGCTCTAGAAAAGAACTTATAATGACTATACCATGAAATCAGGAAGGCAATAGGGCAAGAGCCCTAATTTTAATCTTAATTTGTCTAACCTTTAGTTTTCCTTTTTTCTGACTATTGGTGGAAGTAGGAAAAGGAAGGTTCCTGTTTCTCTTTCCATCCTCCCACTATTGAAATCTGCCACCATGACAGGATCTGATAAGCTCATTCAGTGGTAACTTACTGATAAGGCTTAACCAGTGATTTTTGTTTTTAAGGGCATTTGCAAGTTTCACCCAAGGTCAAAGCCTAAACCAAAGGATCTCCAGTGTTAGGGTTTTGGTATCAATCAAGAGTGGGGCAGGTTTGCATTTTGGGTTGTTTTTGCTGGTGTTGGATCAGGGAGAATGAAAGGAAGGAAATCCAGAAGATTTTTAATAAATCCAGGTCCCACCTTCCTGGCTGGGAGTGAGCAAACCAGGTGGGCAAGTGGGAAAGGACATGCTGACTATTCCCCAGGACTTCCTGTTGACAATCAGAATTGTCTTTGAGGGAACCTAGGGGTGGAAGTGGAGGACAGATCCACCAAGAACCAAGGCCTTTAGTGAGGGCCAAGAAACCATGCGTCATATCCAAGAAACCAGAAGGGGACACTGTAACCCATGAAGAACCTCTGGAGTAAGACTGAATCCAAAGCTCACACCCTTCTTTCCCTTGAGCAGGCTCTGTGCTGTGGGGTGGGGACACATTCAAGGCTCTGAGATAGATGACACTCCCTACTGTTACTGCCCCTCTTGCTACCCTCTACTCTCAGGGTTGGCACACCTTCCAAAGAATTGAGGGGGCCGAGGACAGAGAAGGCAATAACCAATGTTACCAAGAGTCTCTTGGACTTTGGAAGAACACCAGAACTCCAGCCAGGTCAACACCATCAGCCCACATGGTGTTTTCTCTGCATTTCCTTCTCACATTCTCTGAAGACCTAAGGAGGAAGTGGGAGTCCAGGTAGAACAACTCCTCTCCTAGAAGAGAAAACATAATTTTGACTTTCTGTCCATTTTTTTTTTTTTTTTTTTTGAGATAGAGTCTAACTCTATGGCCCAGACTGGAGTACAGTGGCACCATCTTAGCTCACTGCAACTTCCACCTCCCGGGTTCAAGCGATTCTCCTGCCTCAGCCTCCTGAGTAGCTAGGACTAAAGGTGCATACCACCATGCCTGGCTAATTTTTTGTATTTTTAGTAGAGTTGGAGTTTCACCATGTTGGTCAGGCTGGTCTCGAACTCCTGACCTCAGGTGATCCACCCACCTCAGCCTCCCAAAATGCTGGGATTACAGGCATGAGCCACTGCACCAGGCCCAATTTTGACTTTCTAAAGGGATTCTCACTCTTGAGAAGCTTGGACACATTAGGCTACATCATTGCCTTTTCCTCTCCTCTCCTTATAACTGCAGTGTGTGCCAATTATAGCTTTATGAATATGAGTCCTTTGCCCATCCCATTCACCACCAGAAAACAACTATGTGTTGTCCTCTGCTGCATATTGGATTAAATTAATCAAACAAACATATCTGTTTAAAACTTCCTTTAAAAAAAGCCTCAGTGTATTTTCCATTGAGAAATATCTTTTCTGTTTTCCCCCAGGGTGAATTTAGCCTAATCCATCCTTCCTACCAGCTCCTTTACAATATGTTGATTTGGGAGCAGATTCTTCTGGGGAAAAACAAAAAACTGAACTCCACTTTCTGAATTTTCCCACTCACAAAAAAATTTAGCTAGATGTGATCTACAGGCAAGATATGCCTAAGCTGTCTGGGGTTGGCACTCAGATTGTTAGTTAAATATCAATTCAAGGTCAATGACACACTGCTAACTTTCTTCAGTTTTCTTTCCACTAAAATAAATTGACCACCAGACAATTTTTGGTTATATTTCTACCATAGTTTTTCATTAAGTGACAAAATGTTTAAATTTACAAAAGTGTACTTTAAAACATTCAAACAAAATAGAAGAGTATGAAGAAAAATGTCCTCATTAGCCCATAGACAGAAGTGATTACAATTTGAAATGTTTAGGAAGATAACAATTGTGCTTACGTCTAAGAGATTATTTTACATTTGTTTGTTTTTCTTCTCTCCTATAAATGATGTAGAAATCAGACAAACACATGTGTATAAAACACTGAAGAAATGATACTATCTCCACATTAAACTTCTACCCCTACTCATCATCTTTGTCTTCCTCCTCGTCATCACCAAAGAATCAGCTACGTTCTGTGTTAGGGTTGTAGGGAAATCTGTGCCTGTTCCTCTTTGAAGCGAGCAGACTATGTATCCTTGGAATACAGCTCTGTGGCCTGGGACAACTCACTTTCCCTCTCTAATTTTTCTACAAAATATGAGGGGTCCTTAGAACTTTGATACTAAAATGATTATATACCTTCTATATAATTCAAAATAAAAATAAAACTAGACCCTAAAATAAGGGTCAGGATATCCAACAATTTGATTTGTCCCATGATGACTGTGTCCTTGCTTTGGGGAAATATTAAATAGAACATTCTTTCAGTACATGTGTTTCTGTGTCTTCCGGCTTTGGCAATTGAACCCCAAAAGAACAAGGTGCCATACATTCTCTCTGAGCTCTGAAGGTCTATGATTTGTCAGTTATAATTTGGAGAATAGAAGTGGAGGTGGTGAGATTGAAAAACATAAATAATATCAAATAAAGCTAAATAAGAATAGATCATTTTGAGAGTTTGGGAGAAATGAACAAGAGTGTTGCTAACGAGAGCCCTACTTCTTAGATGTGAGATATACATAGTGAATTCCAAAGAATACAGTATATAAAGGGGCAAAAAAAAAAAAAACAAAAGTAACTTTATATTGGAGAAATCTGACAAGCACTACCTGGTCAGGTGATCAGGTTCAACACCAACAGTCATAAATCATGTTGGTAGTATAAACCCTTGATCCGATGCGTAAAGTGGTATTTTACCTCTGTGGTCTTCTAAAATCCTTTATCCCAGTCTAATCATGAGAAAAACAGCAGACAAATCTCAATACAGGAGCACCTACTTACCTCTTTCAAAATTAATAATCAGTAGTCCTCAAAACTGTCAATGTAATCAAGACTAACAAAAGTCTGAAAAACTCTCCCAGCCAAGTAGAGCCTAAAGTGACGTGACAACTAAATATAATGTGGATCCTGGATGCGATCCTGGAGTGGACAAAGGAATTGGGTAAGAACTAAGGAAATCTGAATCAATCATGATCTTTAGTAATAATAGGTCAATATTGCTTCAGTAATTATAAAATATTTCATCATTAAAGTCAGATGTTAATAATAGGTGAAACTGATTGGAGGGTTCATGGGAACCCTATAGCATCCTCAATTGTTCTTTAAATCTCAAGCTGTTCTGTTTCACCTTTTCACCAAGGCTAAAGTGGCATGATCTCGGCTCCCTGCAACATCCACCCTGTCCCCTGCGACCTGGGTTCAAGCCATTCTCTTGCCTCAGCCTCCGGAATAACTGGGATTACAGGCGCCTGCCACCACTCCTGGCTAATTTTTGTATTTTTAGTAGAGACGAGGTTTTGCCATGTTGGCCAGGCTGCTTTCAAACCTCAGGTGATCTACCCACCTGGGCCTCCCAAAGTGCTAGGATTACAGGCGTGAGCCACCACCCCCGGCCTAAAACAATTTTTTTAATGAATAAGCAATTATTTAAAGCAGGAATGACAATGGCCTGATGGCATTACACATTTTTGTACAGGCTCACCATGACCAGGCTAGGGTTTTTTCTTATTCTTTATATGTTGGAAAGGGAGGCTTTTTCAACTCTGCCTAATGATTTTACCTTAACTGAATTTTTCCTGACGTTCTCTGCAGTGAAAAGTGCAGTTAGAGCAGATATTATAGTACATGTGAATTATTAATTTACTTTGTTTTTCCACGGCCAACTCACCTATTCTAAGCCACAGCCACCTGGCACCTTCAATTTGAAATTTATAAGGCATAAGCTATATGTTCCTCATAGAAAGAGTAAAAGTTATAGCCATAACAAGATTGGCTTTCAGGTATGCCATTTAAAAGCTGTGTAACAGCGTTGGACAAATTACTTAACATCTCTGAAACTCAATTTTCTCTTTTATTAAAGAAAGAAAATCAGCAACAAAACTGTGCAGGATTGTAGTGAGTGAATATAAAGTATGTGATATCTGGAACATAAAAGTTCTCAGTAAATCACGATTAATAAACACTAACAAATAATGATCAGCCCAAACCAACAGATCCTCTCCTTTGGCTGTAAGGAAATATGACTCAAGCAGCTCTTTCCTTCCAATCCGCCTTCCCACTTTCACAGGCCACACTGCAGCGAGCATCTAGAAGGCTCTCTGCCAACAGCAGCGCCGGTTCGTTATCTAACTGAGTCTTGGTCATTAAGCAAAGTCAGGGTCTTTGTTACTTGGTTTCATCCCCACTGGCCTTGCAGAGAAAGCCCAAGCCACAGGGTACGTCTCCGCCTGCCAATGCCCTGTATTCCTGAAACAAAAAGGCAATAAAAAACACGACAGTTAGTGTCAGACGCGGAGCCCCGGTTTGGGAGTGGGCGGGGAGGGCTCCCTTTTCTCCTTGTTCCGCAGCACCTGTCACGGAGACGGGAGATGGGGCCCGGCCCGGCCTGGGCAGCGCGGCTTCCTCCTGCCCCCGCCGCGCTCCCTCCCGAGCGGCTCGGGTCCGGGCTCCCAGCAACGCGGCGGTGCGGCCGGCGCTGCGACTAGAAAGCGCCCATTGAGGGCTTGCAGCTGCCAGTGCCGCTTGCCCAAATCCGACATAAAGCCTGGACTTCAGCTCCAGTGAAGAAGACACTACTGTGTTCTTCCTGAGCCCCAGTCACGGCTATAAAACATTAAAAGCAAACTGGCGATTGTTAAACACTGCATTTGTTTACACCCCGATTCTTGAATCACAATGGGGCAGCTTAGGCCGCCAAGGCCCGGCGAGGCCCGGCTTTCTCCTGGACACTGGAGTCTGTTCTCCGACCCAAGGGACACAAGAAAAGTTGAGTAAATAGCACATCGCTTTTCTTTTGTTAGATGTTTGCTCACAAAGACTTCAATCGGATATTGGGGGGCTTGGGTTGAAGGACAAGTACTTGCAGAATCAAGATGCTGTCTCACGTTAGCTTTGAGGCTTTATAAAGTATCCTGAAAGAAGAAAAAAAAAAAGCCGAACTACATAAAATATATCCGGCCGAATTAAGGCATAACTAACAACCCTTAAAAAAAAAAAAAAAAAACTACTTGGAAGAAAAAATGGGAGGGGGAAATAAACGAAGTGTTAATGGCAGTGTGGTTAACTGATTAAGCCAATGGACCTTCAATTCACGATTCTACTCTTGCAAATTTGAAACAATGTTTCATTTTAAAAATTTCATTTAAAAAAGTCCCTCTGCGCTCCCCTTTTCCTAGGCTACAATACATAAAACAAATTTCCTTTTAAATGCCTCTATTTCGTTTTTAGATTTTGGGGGGTTTTTTATTTCTTGTAAATATCGTGTAAGAATTGTGTGTGTTTGTGTTTTTTCTAGTTTAGAAAGTACACTATAATTTTGTAAATTGAGAAGTTGCAGAAAAGAAGTATAATGAAGAAAGTAATTGTAAGTCCCATGATTTCAATTAGCAGTTGCTTATATTCTTATATATTGCCTTTCAATCTTTGCATATGCACTTGCACACACAGAAAGGGAGAAAGAGAAAAAAATGAACATACCCAAATGGAATTCAATCCGATTTAGCTTTATACCATGGCTTTTTTTTTTTTCCTTCTGGTAACCATTCCCCATGCCATTAGATGTTCTTAAAAGGATGGTTTCTACTGACTTTGGAATATTTCTATGTTGTTTCTTTACACTAGAAAAAGTTCAGACAGTTTTATTTACACCATGCCATACTTAGAAACTAGAAGAGGATGCTTATAGTTAGAGATTACAAGGAAATGTATTTTACACTAGATATATGCCACTTTCTTCAGAATCATTTAAGAATTGCAGCTGGATTCAGCATAATATTTGGCAAGAACAAATATAGTAGTATGATGAAGTTTTCTCACCTTCAGATGTACTCCAAAAAGAGAAATGAGAAAGATGAAAATAGAGTGTGAGGGTGGGGTGTGGACATGAGAAGTAGAGCCAGAGAAAGGGAGACAATGCTCAGCCTACCACCCACCCCACACACACACATACACACACACAGGTACACACACATGCACACACACACACAAACACACCAATTTCTGTAAGCCTCGAATCAGCAGATGTGATCTCTGTTTCTTAAGAACCTCAGAATTAGGCTGGACATGGTGGCTCACGCCTGTAATCCCAGCACTTGGGAAGGCAGAGGTGGTGTGGCAGGGGTGGGGTGGGAATCCCTTGAGGCCAGGAGTTCGAGACCAGCTTGGCCAACATGGCAAAACCCCCATGTCTGCTAAAAATACAAAAATTAACCAGGCATGGTGGTGCCTGCCTGTGATCCCAGCTACTCGGGTAGCTGAGGCTTGAGAATTGCTTGAACCCTGGAGGTGGAGGTTGCAGTGAGCCACTATACTCCAGCCTGGGAGACAGAGCAAGATTTTGTCAAAAAAAAGAAGAAGAAGAAGGAGAGGGAGAGGGAGAGGGAATAAGAAATAAGAAGGAAGAAGAAAGAAGAAAGGAGGAAGGAGGAAGTAGAAAGAGGGAAGAAGGAAGAAGGAAGGAAGAAGGAAGAAGAAGAACCTTAGAATCAAAACTCAAAAGAATCCAGTGGAAAATCACAAGGATTAAAGGGAAGACACATATTACATATTAGAAATGCACAGCTAACAATATGACAGCAGACAGGTCCAATACAGCATTGCTTGTGTACCTCTTACCCAGAGGGCTGGACACTGGACATGGAAACATAGAGATGAATAGATAAGTCACAGGTCTTTGTCCCTTGGAGTTCACAGTCTAATGGGGAAGACAGGATATAAGCAAGTGGTTTCAGCACAGCTTTGGAATTACATGTAGAGAGAAGTAAATGAAGTGAATGAAGTGAGTGAGAGCCCAGCAGAGGAGAGACCAGGATTCACAGAAAGAATATCCCAAGATCTCAGAGAGGAAGGAGGCTTGGAGCCAAGTAGAGAAGAATGAGACCTTATCAATGTAGGGGAAAAGGAGACATAATGGGAAAAATTTTAGCAGTTGAACTAATTAAAAAGAGAAAGGCAAGTGTATTTTAAAATGTCTTTTCTTCATAGGCTTGGGAACCAATGTTATTGGATACAGATTTGCCCTTGTTTCTGTAACAAGAGATATTCCTTAAAAAGTTTGGTATATGGCAAACTGTGATATTTTAAGCATATTTTAAAAGAGAAGATGCCATTTAAAGAAACTGAACTGTGAATTTGTCATCTAGATAACGACTAATTTGTCTTTTTTTTTTTTGAGACAGAATTTTACTATTGTTGCCCAGGCTGGAGTACAGTGACATGATCTTGGCTCACTGCAACCTCTGCCTCCCAGTTCAAGCAAATCTCCTGCCTCAACCTCGCAAGTAGCTGAGACTACAGGTGCCTGCCACCACACTGCGCTTTTTGTATTTTTAGTGGAGACGAGGTTGCACCACGTTGGCCAGGCTGGTCTTTAACTGCTGACCTCAGGTGATCCACCCCCCTTGGCCTCCCGAAATGCTGGGATTACAGGCGTGAACCACGGTGCCTAGTCTATTTGTCTTATTTCATATGGACTTTACATACTACTTGTAATAAGTACAGTCATGAAAATAGCATCTCCCTACCTGTTCCACTCATTAATGTCAAACCCAAAAGGACCTTGAGTGAGTTTTAGGTTTATTTGCTTAAGCCCACCCCACCCACACACATTCACTTACCCTACTTATATGTGAATATTGCCATTAAGATGGCAAAAGGCAGCCACAGCACAAGCACATGTGTCCATGGTGAATGCAAATGTTAAAGATTAACCTTTTTTTTCAAAGCCAGTGTAATTGATTTTGAGAAGTATCATATTTGCAAAGCGAATTTATTATTTTTAATTCCCACACTGACTTTTCTTAACCAGTTTGCAGCCTCCCCAACCTACACGGTGACAACTTTTATTTATTTATTTATTTATTGTAGTTTAAGATCATTTTATCGAAGATCAAGGGGCTGGGAGAGGGAGGGGGCAACTACAGCCCTCACCAGCTCTACGGGGGGAATGGACCCCTCCCTGTCCCCTGCCCTCTAAGTAGCTCCCCCTGTATTATGGGAGGGGACTTTGTGCAAACTCTGCCCTGAGGGGGTCACAGTGACTCTTGAGGTTGATCAGGGCTGTAATTACAACTTAACAAACAGAGAAACCAAAATGAAGAGGCAATTTTAGCTACTTTCCCAGGTGGGCCCTTAAATTCTCACCTGTTGGAATACATTTTCTGCAGGGACTGGAGCCTGCCTCTTCAGACAAGCTCTCTGTCCATGGAGTCATGAAGCTGTCATTCTTGGGAAATGGATCATGCTCCACCCTTTAACTGAATAGAGCACTTAAATTCTTATAGTATTCAAAAAAATCTATGAATTTAAAATGTGAAGAACATGTGCCACACAATCTGGCTGGAGGGGTAGGAGGCAGAAGTCTATTCTTATCTTTCTGTATTTTTCCTCTGATCACCAGACCAGAATGTGTTTCACTGTGGTTAGAGTAAATAAAGACTCAGGATAACTTTTCTTTTTTCAAACAAAAACAAAAAATTCAGTCGTCCTGAAAAGCACTGATAATGTGAAATAGGACAACTGTAGTTGTTATTTAATGGGTCATCCTGGCTTTATTTTTCTTGAATTGAATGTTGTTTTTTCAGAATACTCATGTTGCATGGATATATTTCTAGTTTGAAGAAATTTAAGCTACTTTTCAAGGCTATCCTTAAAAAAAAAATAAGTCGCTTTAAATGTTGCATGATCCTGTTTATGAGGGTCTTAGGTCAATTACACTATTGTTATCTGTCTCTTCCTGACCATAGACTATACCTATAACCATTGTAAAAAAAAAAAAAAAAAAAAAATTAAAGAAATGTTTCTATATTAACTTTGATTCTAGATGACTTATCTTTTTTTTTTTTTTGAGAGAGAGGGTCTCACTCTGTTACCCAGGCTGGAGTGCAGTGGCATGATCTAAGCTCACTACAACCTCTACCTCCCAGGTTTAAAGGATTCTCCTGCCTCTGCCTCCCAAGTAGCTGGGATTACAGGTGCCTGCCACCACACCTGGCTAATTTTTGTATTTTTAGTTGAGATGGTCTCCCGGCCTCAAGTGATCCACCCTCCCCTGCCTCTCAAAGTGCTGGGATTAGGCGTGAGCCACCGCACAGGGACTGGATGACTTAAGAATATTACTGGATAGGCAGGGTGGCTCGCACCTGTAATCCCAGCACTTTGGGAGGCCGAGGCTGGAGGATCACCTGAGGTCGGGAGTTCAGGACCAGCCTGGCCAACATGATGAAACCTTGTCTCAAAAAAAAAAAAGAATACTACTAAAGACATTTTACTACTTATAACTACTACATAAGAAATTACTCCCCCAAACCAGTAGCTTAAAATCCTCATTTTATTTTGTTCACGGCTTTCTGGGAATTCAGGATGTGCTCAGCCCAGGCAGCTTGGGTTTTCTCATGCAGTTTCGGTCAGATGCTGACTGGGGCTCCAGTCACATAAGGATCAATCGTCATAGGTCCAGCAGTTCAGGCTCAGCTCTGTTATAGGTCCACCAGTTACAGTGTCTGCTGTGAGCCTGGCAGAGGCTAACAAGGGCACCTACATCAGCATGGCTGTCTTGGGGTAATCAGACTTCCTACATGGTGCAAGGCTTTCTCCAGAAAGGCCCAAGAGAATCAGACAAGGGCTTTTTCCAGCCGGCCTCAGACATCACACAGCATCACTACAAGATTCAGTTGGTTCCAGTTGAGTCACTAAGATTGGACCCCTCTAAATGGAAGGAGTATCAGATAATTTGCAGACACATTTTTAAACTGCCATCCATATGCTTTTGTGTTTTTTTTCACAAAGAACTCAGCATGTGTTCTCTTAAGCTAAAGACTCCAGAAGTTTTTGAGTTCATTTTGTCCTTCCAGAACCTAGCACAGGGTATGTGTTACAGCAAATGAGGCCAAATATTTGTTAAACTGAACCAAAGGCTGACAAGCCATGAACTCCTGCCATCCACTTGAAAGAGGAATTTTGTGGCTGCCAAATTTTTCTTTTGATAAGTTAGAAGGCTTATCATGCTGATAATGGTACTATATATATAGATAATATATTTAAAAAAAAAAAAAAAAAACAAAAAACTTGTTTTTTTCCCAAGGTAAAGGAGTCTCAGTAATCCTGTAGTCCCACCCTTTACCTTGTACCTCCCAGCCCTCCTCACCCCACCCCAGTTTTACAGCTGAAGCCCAGAGAAGTTAAGTGAACTAACCAAGTTATAAAGGTATGGTCTCTAGTTGTATTATGTTGATGCAAAAATATTTGCGGTTTTTGCTATCAAAAGCAATTCCAGGCATCGTTTCTTGTCCATTACAAAATATTGTTTTCTCACTTACTATTTGGGGTTATGACTTTATCAAAAATTGCAGGGACATTGTGGGGGTTAGATCATTTTTATACATAAGGGTAAGATCTGCCAACCTGTTGATCTCAGCAAGAATTATTTTCCTCCCTGACCTTTCTATTCATTCCATCAGGCAGATAAAGAAGAGGCCCAGAAAGATCTCACCAGGAGGCCATGGGACTCCAAGTTGCTCTCCTCAGATATAGGTCAAAAAAACTAACTTCCTGACCCTTTCTTCATGCTTTGCAATAAGATCTTGCAGTATCTATGTCTGGGGCAGTGCTGAGTCTAGAAGGCTTCCTGTGATTTACAAAAAGCCTGTGAGGAAATGGAGATGCCCCTGAGCCTGCCTCAACCTGTGATAGTGATCCACTGTATTTCCAGGAGGTGACCCATAATACTGTGATGTAAGACACGGTCCCAGCCCTTTGGGTTCAGGAATGCAAAATGTCAAGTCATCTATTTTGCATCACAATGATGCAGTTTTGTCAGGAAGGATAGTATTTTTAAAGTGATCACCCAGTTGATTAACAAAAGGAAAGAAATCACACCTTCTCCTTTGAAGTTTGCAAGGCTTCCCTTAGCAAAAGAAGGCTCTTGCCTTAGCTTGTTCTAGGACCATATTCAAGACTCTTTCAATTTAGAAAATTTTATATTTATTAAGAAAGGCGAAAATAGAACTAGTGTATAGAATTAATTTCTTAGGTCAGTCAACATTTCTTTAAGTCAATTCATTGAATTGATGTTTGTGTGAATGACTGACTGGCTTATAGTGAGCACTCAGTACATGTTAATTTCCCTTCTTTTTCCAACAGCATTGTAGGGGGAATGACTCATGTTCACGATGTTTAGTATTTGTCTAAAATACTCTGAGTTTTCATTACCAAAAAAAAAAGTTCAATAACATTTGACCTCCTAATTTACTAAGGCAGAAAAACCTTCTAAGCTCCTAGTATGAGTCAGGGTTCTCCAGAGAAACAGAACTAATTTGTGTGTTGGGTGGGGGCAAGAGACTTACTTTAAGGACTTGACTCACGTGATTATGAAAGCTGGCACATTACAAGAGCTGCAGTGAGCAAGCTGGAGATCCAGGAGACCTGATGGTGTAGACTCAGATGGAACTCCTGAGAAGCAGGAGAGCTGATGGGGTAAGTTCTAGTCTAAATGCTAGCAGGCTGAAGACCTGGAAAGAGCCAATGTTTCTGTTAGAGCTTGAAGACAGTGGGGGGTGGAAACCTTATGTTCTAACTCCAGGTAGTGAGCCAGAAGGAAATTCCCTCTTACACATGGTAGCACCAACCTTTTTGTGTACTCAGGCCTACAACTGACTGGAGAAGGCCCATCCACATTAGGGAGGGCAATCTACTGAGTCAACTGATTTGAATGCTAATCTCATCCAAAAGCACCATCATAGATACATCCAGAATAATGTTTGACCAAATACCTGGGCACCCCATAGCCCAGTCAAGTCAACACATAAAATTTACCGTCATACTCCTTTTCCATGGAGCACTAGCCAAATTGAAATGTCAGAGAATTTGTGTGGTTGTAATAGAAATGATTTTCCGGTTAACCCTGTTTTACCAAATATGTGTAGTGTATCCAGTTCTCTTTAGGTTTCACTCTTTACCCATAGCATTTCATTTTAGGGCATACAAATAATTGGAATGCCCCCCTTCTCCCTTCTCCCTATCCCTGTATGGGAATACAATGTTCACTCACAACGTTGAACCAGAGGAGGATGTTCTATGTAACATTATTGATTCTGCGACCATCCTAGGAAGGAATGCTAGTGAGAGCTCTTCATCCTTACTCCAGGAATTAACAGACTTGTCATCAGAGGTATTACAGGGCTTGGACTTACAACGAAGCTTCACAACCATTCTCAGACATTAATCACATTTTGGTACTTGCAGTTCAAAGGCAAATCATCTGTACAATTATGATTTAGATGAAATTTAGGAATCATGAATGTGCTTTACTTTGGTCTTATTCAGAAACCAGTAGCCTTTCCTCATGGATGGTAGCAAGTTTGGCTTGCACAGTGGAGGCTGTGTGCTGTGCAGGTTAACAGCATGCAATTACCAAGGCTCCAACGGCAGCTCTACCAACACAGAAGCAAAAGTGGAAACCATGGCAGAGTTCTTAGAGTAGAAATAGAACTATAAGACTGAGAATAGTGGCTCGGATGATTGGGAAGCTATGGCCAGTGAAGAGGAGACAGAAGAAGAAGGAAATACAGTTCATATAGAAGTAAAAGGAAACCCTGAAGAGGAGGAGGAACAAGAGGAAGAGAAAGTTGAAGAAAGTGAAGAAGAAGAAGAAGAAGAGGGAGAAAGTGAAGGCAGTGAAGGTGAGGAACAAAATGAAAAGGTGTCAGATGAGAAGGAGTCATGGAAGACATTAGATGAAAAGTCAAATAAATAAATGAGCTCAGATTCTGAATATGACTCTGATAATGATTGGACTAATGAAGAAAGGGCTGGCCAGGTGCAGTGGCTCTTGCCTGTAATCCCAGCACTTTGGGAGGTCAAGGCAGGCGGATCACTTGAGGTCAAAAGTTTGAGACCAGCCTGACTAACAGAGACTGCATTCTCTACTAAAAATGCAAAATTAGCCAGGCATGGTGGTACATGCCTGTAATCCCAGCTACTTGGAAGGCTGAGGCAGGAGAATCACTTGCACCCATGAGGCGGAGGTTGCAGTGAGCCAAAATCGTGCCATTGTACTCCAGCCTGGGAAACAAGAGCGAAACTCGATCTCAAAAAAACAAAAATAAATAAAATATAATAAAATAAAATAAAGAAGAAGAAAGAGCTTATGACAAAGCAAAACAAAGGATTGAAGAATGGAGACTTAAACATAGTAAAAATGTAAATACTGGAAAGCTAAGAGCCCCTATTATCTGCATACTTGGGCATGTGGATACAGGGAAGACAAAAATTCTAGATGAACTCCATCACACTCATACAAAATGGTGAAGGAGGTGGGATCACACAACAAATTGAAACTGCCAATATTCCTTTTGAAGCTATTAATGAATAGACTAAGATGTTTAAAAATTTTGATAGAATGAACGGATTCCAGGAATGCTAATTATTGATACTCCTAGGCATGCATCTTTCAGTAATCTGAGAAATAGAGGAAGTTCTCTTTGTGACATTGCTATTTTAGTTATTGATATTATGTATGGTTTGGAGCCCCAGACGATTGAGTCTATCAACCTTCTCAAATCTAAAAAATGTCCCTTCATTGTTGCACTCAATAAGATTGATAGGTTATATATGATTGGAAAAAAAGTCCTAATTCTGATGTGCCTGCTGCTTTAAATAAGCAGAAAAAAAATACAAAAAATGAATTTGAGAAGCAAGCAAAGGCTATTATTGCAGAATTTGCACAGCAGGGTTTGAATATTGTTTTGTTTTATAGAATAAGGATCCCCGCACTTTTGTGTCTTTGGTACCTACGTCTGCACATACTGGTGATGACATGGAAAGTCTGACCTGCCTTCCCTTTGAGTTAACTCAAACCATGTTGAGCAAGAGACTTGTGCACTGTGAAGAGCTGAGAGCACAGGTGATGTAGGTTAAAGCCCTCCCAGGGATGGGCACCACTGCAGATGTCATCTTGATCAATGGGCATTTGAAGGAAGGAGATACAGTCACTGTCCCTGGAGTAGAAGGGCCCATTGTAACTCAGATTCGAGGCCTCCTGTTACCTCCTCCTATGAAGGAATTATGAGTGAAGAACCAGCATAAAAAAGTAAAAGCAGTTCAGGGGGTAAAGATTCTTGGAAACGACCTGGAGAAAACACTGGCTGGTTTACCCCTCCTCATGGCTTATAAGGAAGAAGAAATCCCTGTTGTTTTGTTTCGTTTTTTTGAGATGGAGTTTCCCTCTTATTACCCAGGCTGGCATGCAATGGCACGAAATCGGCTCACCGCAATCTCCGCCTCCTGGGTTCAAGCGATTCTCTTGCCTCAGCCTCCCGAGTAGCTGGGATTACAAGTGCCTGCCACTACATCCAGCTAATTTTTTTTTTTTTTGAGATAGAGTCTTGTTCTCTCGGCAGATTGGAGTGCAGTGGCTGGATCTTGGCTAAGTGCAACCTCCACCTCCTGGGTTCAGGAGATTCCCCTACCTCAGCCTCCTGAGTAGCTGGGACTACAGGCTTGCACCACCATATTCAGTTAATTTTTTGTGTTTTAGTAGAGACGGGATTTTACCATGTTGGCCAGGATGGTTTCGGTCTCCTGACATTGTGATCTGCCCACCTTGGTCTCCCAAAGTGCTGGGATTAGAGGTATGAGCCACCACACCCAGCCTAATTTTGTATTTTTAGTAGAGACAGGGTTTCTCCATGTTGGTCAAGGTGGTCTCAAATACCTGACCTCAGGTGATGCACCCGCCTCGGCCTCCCAAAGTGCTGGAATTATAGGCATGAGCCACTGCACCCAATTGAAATCCTTGTTCTTAAAGATGAATTGATCCATGAGTTAAAGCAGACAGTAAATAGTATCAAAGTAGAAGAAAAAGGAGTCTATGTCCAGTCATCTACACTGGGTTTTTTGGAAACTCTACTTGAATTTCTGAAAAATCAGAGTGCCCTATGCAGGAATTAACATTGACCCAGCACATAAAAAAATATGTTATGAGGACTTCCGTGATGTTGGAACATGACCCTCAGTATGCAGTAATTTTGGCCTTTGATGTGAGAATTGAACGAGATACATAAGAAATGGCTGATCATTTAGGAGTTAGAATTTTTAGTGCAGAAATTATTTATCATTTATTTGATGCCTTTACAAAATATAGATAAGACTACAAGAAACAGAAGCAAGAAGAATTTAAGCGCATAGCAGTATTTCCCTGAAAGATGAAAAGCCTCCCTCTGTACATTTTTAATTCTCAAGATCCGATCGTGATGGGGGTGACAGTGGAAGCAGGTCAGGTGAAACAGGGGACAACCCATGTGCGTCCCAAGCAAAAATTTCATTGACATCAGAATAGTAACAAGTATTGATATAAACTATAAACAAGTGGATGCTGCAAAAAAAGGACAAAAGTCTGCCTAAAAATAGAACCTATCCCTGGTGAGTCGCCCAAAAATCTTTGGAAGACTTGTTGAAGCTACAGACATTCTTGTCATTAAGATCAGCCGGCAGTCCACTGATGCAAAGACTGGTTCAGAGATGAAATGAGGAAGAGTGACTGGCAGTTCATTGTGGAGCTGAAAAAAGTATTTGAAATCATCTTATTTTTCCACATGGAGCAGGGACTAGAGTAAATGCAATACTGTGTTGTAATAAAAACAAGACAAAAAAGGATCAGATATATCTAAATACTGATGAACTTAAGTAGGGAAGGAAGAAAAAAAAGTGTATAAAGCGTTTTCCATGAGAAAGTAAGAAACTTACACTGCTTTGACAGTGGTCAATTACATGTCCCCACGGTTCCAATGTGTCTGTTCACTTACCCCTCCTTTCCCCAAACCTTCTCTACCTGGCTGCTGTTTTAAAGTTTGCCCTTCCCCAAATTTGCATTTTTATTACAGATATAAAGTTCTTTTTATTTTATACTGATCAAAACGGTGCTGCAGTATTTGATTAACCAAAACAAAACAAAAATAGAAGTATAAAAGCAATGGTTGAAGAAGGATCTTTGTGCTTGTTTTAGAGAGAATTCATTAAATTTTTAATTGCTATGCTAAAGAGACTATTATCTCCACATAATCTTATAATCTTTAGACATGCAGTGAGGTAGTTATTGTTATTATCACCATGCTAAAATTTGAAAACAGAAACAGAGAGAACATATGTAACTTGTCCTAAGGTCACTGATTTGAAAGTAGGGAGTGTGGCTCCAAGGCTAACCACTAAACTAGGTGTCCTTTTGCTGGGTGAGACCTCTCTCTGTCATCCAAGCAAACACACAGCCTGCCTCAGTGATCCCATAGGGGTGCTGCCTTGCACTGCCACGTCCTATGGAAATACTGGGCAAAGGTTCCTTTCTGCTTTCAGGCCACACTCCTTGAATCTCAGGTAGGACACAATGGGGGATAAATGGAAAACCAGATCCAGTTGGGTCAGAGACCTCACCTCCAGATCTTCCCCTCTCCAGAGCCCCTTATTGTACAACACACCATTAACCACATGTTGCTTAGAGTGTTGTACTGTCCATTCCACTCAAAACCTGGGTTTCCCTTTAACATTTTTGTTGGTTTTGTAATAAACATCTTGGTGCTGAATTTTAATTCCACAACCAGCTGGGCTACCCTCAGTAACAGCCTCAGTAATCATCCTCCCCGTCACCCACTGCTCACTTGATCACTCAACACATAGCGTCTCCTCCATTCCCAATGCAGACTATTTATTAGAGAGGAGATAACAAAGGCAGCATGGTTCCTGCCCTCACGGAGTTTATAGTCTAGTGGAGAAGACAAACATTATTCAAAGAGTTACATATAAATATAAAACTATATTGTGACAAATGCCACAAGGGAAAGGTGCAGGGTTTGATGAGTTCAGGACCGGGAATTGACCTAATCAGGGAGGTCAAGGAAGGCTTCCCTAAGGAAGTGGTGCATAGCTGAGAACGGAAGAAGCAGGGACGTGCTCCACAGGAAGAACACTCTCAGAAGCCCAGTCAGCAGCAGATACGAGTGTGGTGTGATTTTGAGGAACTGAAAGAAGACCAGCATGGCTGCAGAAGAGAGAATGGGGGTGTGATATGTGACAAGCAAAGAGAAGTAAGCAGCAGCAAGACTGCATAGGCCTGTGATCAGGATTCTAGCCTGTATGTCTAGAGCAGTTCTTTTCAATTTGGCTACATGTCAGAACCACCTGGGAAGCATTTTTAAATACTGGTTAAAGAATTCCATTCCAGAACCATCAAATCTAAATTTCTGGAAGTGAGAACCGGGCATAAGTTGTTTTTTTGTTTTGTTTTGTTTTTTTAAAGCTTCCAGGTGATTTTACAGTGAAAACAAGAATCACTGACATATAGCAATGAGAAGTCACTAAAATGTTTGAAGATTATGCGTATGCCTTGAATATTTAGAGGGAGTTGGAAGCTGCCATCATCAGATTTACATTTCAAAAAGCATTCTCTGGCTAGAACCATGGAGTTAGCAATACTAGTGATTGAGAGTTCAAAAAGGAGACCAATTCAGTGACTACTATATATATATTTTTTTTATTGAAATGGAGTTTCGCTCTTGTCATCCAGGCTGGAATGCAATGGCGCAATCTCGGCTCACTGCAACCTCCACCTCCTGGGTTCAAGCAATCCTCCTGCCTCAGCTTCCCAAGTAGCTGGGATTTCAGACGCCTGCCACCACCCTGGCTAATTTTCATATTTTTCATAGAAACGGGGTTTCACCATGTTGGCCAGGCTGGTCTCAAACACCTGACCTCAGATGATCCACCCACCTCAGCCTCCCAACGGGCTGCAATTATAGACTTGAGCTACTATGCCCGGCCAGTGACTACTATTGATAAATGGTGCAGGTGTGGATTAGGGTAGCATCAAGGGAGATGAAAAACATGCATACATTTACAAGATTTCTAGTTGGTCAAATCACTGAGACTGGCAGAATGATGAAATGTTGGAACCTATAGAGGGAGGAAAGAGAGTGAATGACCACCAGGGTTCTGCTCACACAAGAAGATGGATAACTGTGCCATTTGCTTACACAGGGACAAGGACTAGAACCGGAAATCATTCGAGTGAGGGTGGGTTTTCATTTGGGCATGTGAGATTTGCTTTCATTTTGTCATGCATGTTCTTTACCTCTTTTTCGTAGGTCATTCATACTTCATTTACCAGTCCTTGCTATGTCTTATTCATTAAAGCAAACAACAGCAACACGATTAAACTCACTCAATCTTGAACTATTGAACACGTTTCATCCATGTCATTGGCCTATTTAGCCCTCGATTGTAACTTGAAGAAGCTTATTGAAAAGAAAATTAACTTCCCATGAAGTATAACTACTTTCTTAGCAATACTGTATCTGTTTCATCTCTTTAAATTTTTTGATATTATGTATTTTTTTTTTTTTTTTTTTTTTTTGGAGACAGAGTCTTACTCTGTCATCCAGGCTGGAGTGCAGTGGCATGATCTTGGCTCACAGCAACCTCCACCTCCTGGGTTCAAGTGATTTTCCTGCCTCAACCTCCCAAGTAGCTGCAATTACAGGCACCCACCACCACCCCCAGCTAATTTTTTGTACTTTTAGTAGAGATGGGGTTTCACCATGTTGGCCAGGCTGGTCTTGAACACCTGACCTCAGGTGATCCACCTGCCTCAGCCTTCCAAAGTGCTGGGATTACAGGTGTGAGCCACCATACCCAGTCTATTATGTATTTCTTAAGACATTTAATGCCAAGGAACAGAAAGAAACCGCACTCCAATTAGCTTAAACATAAAGAATATTATTATAGGAATATAAAGATATCTAATGGAATATAAGAATAAATCTGTGGCTAGAGTTCAGGAAAAGCTGGAATCACGAACTCGTGACTTCACAGTTCCCTCTCCCCAGCTCTTCCTCTCTTGCGTATCTGCTTTGTTTTTCTTTTTCTGTTCTCAGAAACTAGCTTCCATCACTTTTCTTCTTAACATGACGAAAATATGACAAGTGACAGCTCCTGAGGTTTAAGCCCTAGAGCTCAGATATTAGAGGGAAACACTCTTATCTCTTTCAGTACGAAATCTAAATTCCTAAGGAAGAAACTCATTGGCTTAGGCAGACCAGCTGTCCTTCTCCAGACCAATAAACTATGACAGGATGTAGGAGCTGGGGAAAAAGCTGTGACTATCACAAGTTGCTTCATATACCCTACTGAAGTGTTGCCAAATGGATATTCTCATGATAGTCTGAGGGGATTCCTTTAGGACTTGATTTGCAAGCCCCAAAAAAGCAGGGGCTGAGCAAAACATGCAAGTTTGCCATTACACCCTAACTAAGTAAATTAACATATGTGATCCTCAAGACCTAACTGAAGACAATTCTAAAAATGCTGATAATTATGCAAAATATTTCATCTCCTTGAACTAGTGGTTGTTTTTTTTTAACTGTTATGAAGACACCTGAAATTTCCAAAATTTTGAAAGTTTTATATTTGATAATGATGCATGCCAAGAGATTTGCATCTGTCTATGATTTGAACTATGATGTTTGAACTGATTCTTTCAACAAAGCAATGCACTAGTTCTGAAATTATCCTAATTTTAAATATCATTTGCATTTCTGTAGATGGAAAATTATATAACAAATTCTAGTTCTTTTGCTTTTCATTTGATTAACAGTAAGACTCCCCCAAGCTCTAAAAGAAATAGCAGGAGTTGAAATTTCAATTGCATTTGGGAGAAGATGTACTTTGTTCCTTTGGAAATAAAGGAGAGCATGTTAGATGACAAGTCATAAAGATACTAGTCTCAATATATATTCTTTTGAAGCTCTAAGATGAAATGAGGGCTATGCACATTACTGGTGATGAAAAGGATCATAAATAAAGATCTCTTATGAGCCTTCTTATGGAAGGACATTGAAAACTAGAAGAAAATAATCAGGCCAGCACTTCCCTTCTGACTTCTCAGTGAATAGCCTTCTCTGCAGGGAAGAGAGACAGACTCTACACCCCATGTGGTCATGACTTAATGGACTTTCCCTCAAGGAATTTGTAACCTCGTTAGGACTGAACGTATATATGGCTAATGACATTTATACAATAATCCATTCTGAAGTATTCAGTAGGCAAAGCACATGAGTGTAAACAGAAGTCAGAGACTAGGAGTCCAAGTAGGCTTGAG